AGGGAAAGTGTCGCAACGTTAGGGTTGTTACAGTAGGGAAACTCCGAGGGAGGGAAGTACGGTCAATATATTACGGGGTCGCCGAAATATTATTTGCACCTGCACTGTTATATGAGCTTAATTCCGCAACAGTGAATTATCGTCATGTAATTATTCCATCTACTTAGCTGTATGATGAATTGCCTTTATGATGAATAGCCCTTATTTTAATTGAATATGTTTGAATGACCGAGAAGCCGTCACGTTTAAGGAATATCAAATTAAACCATTCGCTTGAATGTTCTAAAAATTAGATTACCCTATTATTAGTATTTATTTTGTCCTTTTTGATTTGGGTGCGATTGTTGAGAAAGAATTGAACAAATTCAAATTTTGAGACTTTTGGGTATGCTTTTGTTTTTTTTTTTAATCCACAGTTTACTAGATATGAGTGAAAAACAGGTTTGGTGATTTTTCATTTAACTGTTGTAGAATCGTTAGTATTAGAAATACAGAAATATGCAAAGTCAAAGAACAAAAATTGTAGATTTTTTTCCGCTTTAAGAAGATACATTTATTAATATTTATTCTTCTTTTATAATTTTTGAGTTATAACGCAAACTTACATTTTTTTAAATGGTAATCAACATTGGCCTGTTCAATTGTCGTCGTAAATGAAATGTACCTATCTCACTACATATTGTTTTCCATGGCCAACTCTGTTAACTTACCTCTCAATAATACGAAAATTACTACAGGGCGTTTATTTATTAAAGTACATTTAGCAAGACTTATATTGTTATAAAGAGAAAAATTTGTCCCTTTTAAAAATGTCAAAGCCAACTATGACTACCATTTAAAAAAAATTAAAGTTTGTATTATAACTCAAAAATTGTAAGATCTAAAAATAAATTAGTATGTTTATCATGTTAAGCATTAAAATCTCTAAAACTTTTATTCGTGTCATTTTGTTGTATTTCTAATAATAATGATTCTACAACACTACACTAAATCTGTTTTTCGTTCATATCTAGTGAACTGTGGATTTTTTTTCAAAAAACAAAAGCATATCTTAACTAAGGTCTTAAAACGACAACTCTTTCCTCATTTAACCGAATCCGTATGTCTTATGGTTTCCGAGATCCCAATACTTAAAATGAAAAAAAAAACTCACCCTGTATTGTATACGGTGTTAATTAGATGGCTAGTGAACGTAATGGTCATACATGAGCTAAGTGACCTTTTATTGAACAGTAGATTTTAATTAAAGACAGGCGGGCTGGAATCTAAGGGGCGGTAATAATTAAATGCTAGTGGTTGTATAGGTAGTTTAACTTCAGGCACTAGGTGCGCACCACTGTGCTAAAATTTACGAGGTTTTGATAGGGGTTACAGGAATATGGATTCCCCCAGATATAAGGCCGATTCTAACTCAAAAGTCACTAGATGTGGAAAAAAGTCACTAGAAAAGTAACTAGGTTTGAAACTCTACTCAAAGTCACTAAAAGGTCACGAGAGGTTTGAAACTGTGCTAACAGTCACTAGAAAAGTAATTAGGTTTGAAACTCTGCGTCACTAGAAAGGTTTGAAACTCTGCTAGTGATATAGGGGCCGATTCTAAATCAAAAAGTTACTAGATGTGAAAAAAAGTCACTAGAAAAGTAACTAGGTTTGAAACTCTGCTCAAAGTCACTAGAGGTTTAAAACTCTACTAACAGTCACTAGAAAAGTAACTACTAGGTTTGAAACTCTGCGTCACTAGAGGGGTTGCTATTGATATAGGACCGATTCAAACTCAAAAAATCACTAGATGTGCGAAGGTAACTAGGTTTGAAACTCTGCTAGTGTCAAGTCACTAAAAAAGTAACTAGGTTTGAAACTCTGCTATTCTCATATAGTGGGAATTATTCGTGTTGATTGATTATCGATTTCGGTTACTCATCACTAAAGGTTATTCACCTCATGTTCTTTCTGAGTTATTGATTGATTATCGATTTCGGGGTCACGGCAACTACGGTCACTAGATTTGTAAGAGGTTAGAATCATTGCTAGGGGTGTGTTTCTGAACTAAACTGCTTCCTTTTAAACTAGCTCTGGTTTGTGTCCGAGTTTTGTATGTGATTGAACCGTTTCCTGATGAGTGTACGGGTGATTCTAAATCACACTAAAATCCCCCTAGAAAAGTCACTATACTGTATTCATTTTAAGAAGGTAGCGGTAGAAAGCATAGGGAAGCTTTGACCTTCACTGTGATTGGTTAAAACATGAGTCAGTATTACAATGAAACATAAAACGACTGGTGAATTTTGTAAGGTGGTAGTTTATGTTGCCAACTAAACTGCTGAAGTGTCATTAGCTGTTATTGTCAAAGGTTTATTTCTATTCGCAGTGCCGAATATTTCTACTTTACAATAATTTGGTGCCGTTTTATATTTTTCCTGTGTGTGTTTATCTTTAAACACAGCGCCATCTACTACCTTCTTATAATGGATGCAGTATAGGATTGAGTGGTTCTGAACTGCGCTAGCGAGGTTTGCGCCTGTGCTAACGTCAAGGGGGTCGAGGTTTGTGCTCGAAATAAAGTATCGGAGGTTTGCGTCCGAGCTAAACTAATTTGGTTTGCGCCTGAGTGGAGGGTACTGGTACCAGCCAGGTATCTCCAGAACTGGGGTTGGGACGGATTATAGAAACAGGAATTCCTGATACAAACCTGGCACAAAGTGTCGACCAGTAGTTTCAGGATGGTTAGGAGGATTCAGGATAGAAATTTAGGCACTAGGTGCGCAGCACCAGCCTGACTTTCTGGCGAAGGTGGTCTTCGTGAAGTCTAGAGAAATTACAGAGTGCAGGCCAGGTTGTTCGGGACTACTGGAGCTGGAGGAAGGTCAAGTAGAAAAGTAAAAGTGTCTCTTACGAACTGGACGCTCGCATTTATCCTCAATGGCTGTTTACATTTGCGGGAATAACTGGAAGTGGTAATAGGAGCAACGGGATAACTGGAAGTGACACTTGGAGAAGTAGAAAGGTGAGATGGGTGACGGCATCTTATATGTATGGTGTTAAATTAGAAAATAATGCAGACAAATTAGGAAAACCTTGCCATATGCTTGGCTGGCTAATGTATTGCACTTAAAATTTAGATACCTTTAAATTAACAGAAATTTAGCACCATGCATGAGTGAGGTAGTAAAAAAATGAGCTTTCTAATGATGTATCACATGACCATATTACCATTAAACAAATTCAAGATGGCGGTTACAATTCCGGAACAAATATCTTCAGGTATAAACTTCGAGGTAGGTCAATGTTGGTAGAATGAAGTGGATTCATATGGTTAATGTAGGTAGAGTTCCCAAGCCGGTGATGTAGAAACTCTATCTATCGCATGACGCGCCGAAACCACAGATCCTTAAAAACGATTCAATGGAGCCGCCACACACATCAAAGAGAAAGAGAAACCACTCCAAAGATAATATGGTAAAGCGAAATCAAAAGCTCGTAAGGCGAAAGTAGAAACTTCACTGAGGAGGAAGAATACAACTGCACGGGTAAGATAAAACTTAAAGAAGGAGGGATAGAATTTAGTGCAGAAAGGTACAAAGCGTGCATTGTGGCAACCAGACAAAGAACTAGGCAAAAGAAACTTCTAGGATACTCTCTAACGGCAACACAAAGAACTATAGGTAATAAGAAATCTATACTAAGTTAATAACAAATCTACTACAGAAATTAATTTACACCTAAACTAGTGGATTATAAAGAAGATACCTAGATGGCGTAAGGATACTGAATTTAAAAAACGTTTACATTATAAATAAGGTAGAAGATGCATTTGACAGTATTCGTTGATTTAAAGGTATAATTCAGGTAACGTATCGATTTTAATTTTGGTGGGATATTTAAAATTGGAGCGTTATCTGAGCGTTCCCAAATTTTCTTGTCATACATTTACGCAAATTAAGTTTTGGGTACCTATACCAATATCACCACATAATATATAACAGAGCCTTATATAAACAAACCGAAAGTGGTAAATTTTATATGAATTAGGAGTCGGTAAGTAAATATCAACAAACAGTGGCGTACCGACGTGGAGGTAATATTTTCAACTCTATAGATTGTCGTGAAACATCACACAGGGGGTGCCAAATACATTGCTTGACCTCGATCGCGCTCAAATGTTTCTCCCTCTCATCGTTATAGGTTACACCGTGAATTTTGAAATCTTAGCCTAGTTAGAATTGACTCCATCTCCAGTACAAAATGCAGGGAGTGTTTTGTTTCGGATTTGGTGTTGGATTGTTGCATTTTTTGTTGTGAATTTCGAATTTGATTTAAAGCTCTATATTAAACCGAGTGCCAGTCTGGTGCAAATAATTTACGATTGTTGCTCAAATGCGAACTGACTGTTCCATTTTTATGATTTAGAAGTAGTGCGGCGCGTATAACGAAATTAGAAAAATTCCGAATGTTGCCAACACTTGATACCGTTTACACTGCGCAATAAATTTTTATAACTCACACATGGTGTCGCAAAAGGACGACGCTTTGTGCTACTGAATGGTCGCGTATGATGGGAACCGGCGGCGTCGCCGTCCACGTAATTGTGATGAATGGGTGTATCTCGGTCCTGGTCGTCGCTTAATCGAATTCGTATACTAAGGATCACAGTTGGCAACCATTAGTAGATTGCCTGCAGTGTTTATGGCGAGAAAAATCAATTCTTATCTACCTAATTCTGGAAGAGATATTCAGAAAACGCTCATTTTCACCGGGAGGTCGAAATAAGGTTATTTTTCTTAAGTGCTTGTAGCGATATAGAGGCACTCGACTCGTTTTTAAAGGGTGGGCTTGTCGAGGGGGTGCGATAATCAGCTGTGCACATGACACATCTGATGTGATTATCTCGGCATGTGCGAGCGGTCCCATCACCACACACAGACGCATGGAGAGCACCAACATAAGTTTAAGTTTATCAGATTAGGGCACTTCAGATGTTTCATGATCTCGCTTTGTTTCAGCTTTATTGTGTGCGTTGGCGTCGTGGACCAATTAGCCAAATGCTGCGTTTCGGTCCGAGGTCCGGTGCACGACAACCCCTTGGCGTGCGCCTTTCTTCTGTCTGCTCTCGAGTTCCTCGCCGCTCTTGCAGACCATTGCTCGGAAGAAGGAGACTCCACGCACCTGGTGAGCGGAATTATTCTTGTAATAAAAGCTCGATCTTTATGCTTTCAGATTACCACTCTGTACGGAACCGAGCTAATGGGGGCGGTTTCTATGCTTTACGGCACACTGTTACCACCGGAGTCAGCGCCCCGCACGGAAGGCCAACCGCCCCCAATAATACCGGCCCTTTGTCTTAATCTGGCGACCGCAACTTTCAAGCTGCTAAGGAGGGTCGCCGAATTGGATTTTAAAAAATTTCAGGTGAGCCACTACCCGAAGACCTTATGTTTAAATTTACGCTAATTACTTCGTGCTCGTTGATGGGTGGTAAATTGCGGTGTACGAGTAAAGCACACATACTACAATGATAAACAAACATATCAGTCAATGTACACAAGAAACGCCCTAGAGATCGTGCCCAAATTAACTGAAGTTTGAGTACAAAGCCAATTTCGAACTGGAAGCAAAATGATTCAATTAAAACGTAGCGGTCGATGTAAATATAGATAGAGGTCTTTTCTGTAAACAAGGGAAGCTAACTTAAATTGATACTACCCCAGTGCCTGTATTTTCCAATGTTTACGCGATTTTACTCAATTAATATTAAGTTAATTAGAAATCTTCGCTCCCGCCACAATAATAATTATCAACTGCACGATTCACGTCAAATTATACACTTTTTCGATAATTGTCAATCACTAAAAATTTCGAGAGAAATCAAAAAATGGTATATTAAATAAATGTGTTTGTTAATTTAGTTACTTTTCGATAGTTTTGACAAAAATGAAGTTAGTTTTTCATTGTTTTTGTTCCAAAATTTTCTTGCTTCATATTCCTCTACATTTCAAACGCAATTTTCAACTAAACGGTGTTAGTTTCTGTAAGCTCTCACAAACCATCGTTTATTACCTCCACTTATTTGTTAAATAAAAGTTTAAGTTCTCCGGAAAAACCTCACGTTGGATAAGATTTACTTGAATCTTAGGTAGTTCAAATGTAATTTTTGATTAAATGTGAGTTTTGTAACCGAATTTGGATTACTATACATGATAAGTGGCTATATGTCCTATAAACTTAACGAAATTATTTGGATGTTTTGGAAATCTTTTGGAAAATATCCTATATTTCAGTAAATAAGCAGCCTTTTATAAAGCAAACGAAAGAGACTCATTATTTTCAGAATTTGTTGAAGTATGTACCTAATGCCTCGCCGCCTCGGTCGTGCACATTTGGAAAAATTATTTTACTACATACACGTAGAATACGTATAAGATGGATAGCTACCAATGAATACGTAAGTTATGATATTGTAGCGAATATTCCAGAATGCGACATCGGGTTGCCATCAGGTTGCCGTCAAGTGTGTCAAGGATTAGTCACGCATTATTTCCGGGATATATATGTTTCGAGAATGTTTTTGTTTGATATATAAGCAAATTGAATCGTGTTTCATTTCAGTTCCAACATCGACGCCAAAGTTATATATATGTACTGACATTCGCTCTCCTGTGTTATAGATCTACATGTTATAAATTAGAGTACAAGTGAGTGATCTAGTGAGTGATAAATAATAATTAACGGTTATAAATTGACCCATCAATACCAAAGCCTTCAGCAGCCTCACTAATCGCAACGAACGTGATGTTTCTAAACTCATTCTCGATATCTAGAAACGCTCCCAGCTCGGCAGACATTACTCACTCCAGCCTGCACACGAGGCTCTGTGAAGAGTCTTGTAATCGTAGGTACTGTGGATCAAATCGGGCCTTGATAGTGGTAAGGTGCAATCTTCGGTAACGAGAAAAGGTGATGTACGTAAAATCAGGTATGTCGGAGCGATTTACAAGAGTAATAATCACCAAAAGGTTCCGTTAACTTGCAGTTAAACAGGAACTATATTGAAATCTCCAGGTATAAATTTTCGAAGTAGGTACTAGTAACGTCGCTAATGTCAATCTCGCTAAGATGGCGGGTCCAGGTAAAAATGCGATGTCATTTAGGTTTTGTGCAGGTAATATCCAGGTAGATAATGTCGGAAAAGTAATCCAAAAGAGAAACGATGAGATCTTAGGAGAAAACGTTGAGGGAAGATAAAGGTCTGAAAAAATCATAACCCGTACATACCTCACACTAATTACAGTGCAATCTTGATAATCCGGCCTTCGTTAATCCGGCGTCTTTGGGACGACTACAAGATGTCATTTTTGATAAAATGCATATCTAGCCAAGAAACAAAAAATTAATGATTATTTTTCCTAATGTGTAAAATTACGTATTTGTGTATATTTTGTATTTCTTTGTAAGTATTTTCATTGTATGCACATATATTCATAGTAAAATTGGCGTTTTTTCTCTATCACTCTCGATAATCCGGATTATTTGATAATCCAGCGGTTGCGTGGTTCCATATGTGTCGGATTATCAAGATTCTACTGTACTTGCAAGCACACATTCGCAAAGCGTGTTCAATGAAGCACAGCCACAGCACATCAGAAATAGAGAGAATACTTGGTGAAACAATGAGTCCTTATTCAGATAGACACTAAGTCAAGTAAAAAGTAATAGCGTATCGAGAAAAATCTGCACGCAACCACTGTGAAGGCAAAACCGTCTATACATACGCGAAAGAATTGCAACTGGACGCAAGATCAAATTAAAGAAGGGATAGAATTAGAAGTACCATGGAAAACATCTGCACGGCCTCGGGCGGCGAAAATAAAAAACTATTGTAAATGAAACCTATAACAGTCGAATGGCCTCTAGCGGCGAACTAAAGAACTAAGGTAACCTGTCTGTACTACAGGCATAAGTTACATCTTAACTAAACGGTTTTACAAAGGAATAACGCGACGTTTTTGTGGATGCGGAATCACGTGGGTTTTTGAATGCACATAAACGCGTACAAAAACGTCCGTCTGTATGGCCCTTAATGCACATAATTCCCCCATAGTTTCTGGAAGTTCATATTTTTGGATACAAGAAATTGGCCGCACCAAATTCATTTTTTTAGTATCTTATTTTCTCCAGGTGCGCATTTCTGCATAAGAATACATTTAGGAAGAAGTCCGCTATTCCGAGAATTTTATTTCAACGGTGCAAAACCGCCATATTTCTTTCTTGTGGTTGTAGAACGTTTCATGGACATGGACTTAAACTACCAGCACAGATTTAAACACTCTAAATCTGTGCTACCAGTAATTCAATTCTGGATTTATTACCTTTAATTAAAGAGAGCGTTTAATTATTTCACGTAACGTTACCTATTCATTGTATACAGGGTGGGCCATAAGTGTGTGGGTGGACGATTGTAGGTTTATTAACGCGCATATTAAAAGTTCATTGTGAGGGAATGTTGATGGACCCTTCAGGCTACAATCTAAAAATATTTTCACCGAAATTGCAATTGTTATAGAGGGTGATATTTATATCAAAGTTGCATTTTTTTTAATGGAACCCCCTATATATTATTACATATTTCGATTCCTTGGTCAATTTTAGTGTAACTTTATGTATACACATGATATCTAAAATGAGTAGTTTAGCCGCAATTCTTCGTTTTTTTAAAAAGTAGAATTCCAATAAAAATTGAATATCGCAGTTATCATAAAACTTTAGAAGGCCGTGACTTTGCAGTGGCACTAATCATGAAATGTACTAACATACGCTGAACAGCTAAACTTTTTTTGTGTTAAAAGAAATCACTCCGTCAATTTTCAAAATTTCAATCAGAGGTAACTTGATTTTTTTTAATGGAAATACGAAGTTTTTTTTATTGCATGAAATGTAAAATTTGATTACCTTTCTAACGATATAGGCATGTCGGTACCTATTTTTTGTAATTCAGCAGTTTCTAATAATTCAGTGTTTTTTGCGATTTTTAAAGCCTCTCAGTAATCAGTAGGCCGTTAAAAATTAAGAACAATTCAAATGATAAAACATTTACCCACAACAAAACAAAACAAAAACTCTTGTTTGTCGTAGCCCATTTTAAAAGATAAAATAATGAGTTTGCATTTAAACCAATGCCTGAACGTATAAATAAATCAATTTGAATAGTAAGCCATGAAAGCCATATTAGAAAATATTAACACAAAATAAAATGAAACAACATCTGTCAGTTTAGTTTATTAGCATTTACAATTCTGTTGTTGATTGTTGTGTTAGAAAAATGGAATTTGAATAACATTTTAAACGGTGCTCTTTACTTAAAATTTTTAAGTACTCTTTTTTTTGCTCGTCTTCAAAATTTTCTGGTGCACGTAGTAGACGGAATGTGGTTTCAGCACGATGGTGTCCTACCTCATTTTGTCTTGTCTTGAACATTTATTGAAATAATTATTTTTCTCTTATTTTTATTTACACTTTTTATTTTGATCTTCTTAAGTTTTTGTTTTATTTTATTTGGAATAATTTATAACGTGAGGTTAGTTCGGCGCTGTAAAACTCAAACCCCGCCGCATAAACGGCCAGCTAGCTCAGATTCTTAATTAAAAGAAGGGCTCGAGATGAGAATCTTCCACAGCGGTTTGTTCGTTTGGGCATATAACATAAGTTTTTGATCTTTGGTAGTCACTAGAAATGATTAGTTGAGCGCCACCCAATTTTGCACAAATTCTGACCTCTCCTGTATAGAAATTGGGAAAACACAAGAGAGCCAAATAATAAATTCACTACGAGCAATTCTGATTTTATTAATCCTGACAAAACGGTGCAGGATCGGCAAATAAAATGTATCTTCAATACGACAATAACAAATACTTTAAATGACAAAAATAATCCCCAAATAAATTCCTGAACACTTCCCTAATAATTACGTTACCAGACCCCTACAACAATGATCGAGCAAAAATGTAGTTAAGATTTCAATGGATTCAAAGATTGAATTAAGTTAACCCGAATAACAACTCATATAGGCAACACTGGGTACAAGTAAATTAAAAATCTTACCTTGAATAACACATACGCTGTCTTCTCCGAAAAAGAGCTCTCCTT